GTGGCAATACTATCCCATACAGATGGAACAGGTGGAGTTCACATTTGGTGTAGCCATGTTTTCACGGCAAGTCAGGGTAGGGCACCTCGATGCCCACGGAAAGGGAGTTTCACAACATTTGTACGATCCACCAACCCTTCCCTCCACAGTGATGGGTTATACAGGCTTGCACTACCACCGCTGTAAAGTAAACTATTGTTATTTTACCAGGTAAAGCCCACAGAGCTATTAGCTTCTTTTTCAGAAGCGACACGGCCACAAATGATAACTCAACGAAGTGGTCCATCATGTGGAAATTTATAGCAGCAAAATAATCTACATAATATAGACACTTTGACTTTGAAATAAAGGTTAAATTTCACTGGGCATCAGTGTTATTTGATCATTCATTGGTTAAAGAAAAACATGTATTCTATTACATCACCAGTGAAGAATATCAGAATAATATAAATGTTCCCAGCAACAGCAATTCATACGAGATTTGTTGTTCATGTATTAGCACATAGGCAGCAAACTAGACTATAAACAATACACCAATTTACATAGATTAATATTAACACGTGACCTAAAATTCTGAGTGCTGCCTCATTGCTCACGTTGACAGTTGCTTATAGCTTGAGCTAGTAGCTCTCAACAGCATTACTCACATTCATCATCATCAGCATTCATGACCCATCCACTGCCGAATAAAGACCTCTCCACACTGTTGCCATCCCTCACGGTCCTGCAATGCAACAATCCTACCTCGCCCCTGCGCAGGAGTTGAGCTCATCGCTCCACGCCCGCAGTAGTCATCCTCTTAGGCCAGGGGTCAGAAACCAAAATAACAAGGGGAGCCGTTTTCTCAATTCGGTAAAAAAAAATGCTGAACATTTCAAGAGCCGCAATGCACGTGGTGAATGAGACGGTGGTCCTTAACAAATAACGTCACGAAGCAGCCCTTAAAGAACCACAGGTTGCCGACCCCCGTTTTAGGCGTCACCCCACATTTGACTGCAATTCTGTCACCAGTCTCGTCCATCAGCCTTCATCGTATTGTATCCTTCCTAAGACCAGTTATTTAACATTAATATTTAAATACATCTCTGTACATGCTGCTTTGTGTACTTTTCAGCGGTGTGCTATTTTCTTGTCGGTTACATGAATTAACTTTGCAACAGGAGAGGAGAACGTTTTCCTTCCTGGCGGCTGGATCAGGCTTTAAAATACTTTCGGCATTGGAAACCCATTAACATACCTGAACCACTTCTGTCACTGCAAAGGGCCCTTGGCAGTGGCTAGTGAATGAGTGTGTTAACATAAGAAAGTGAGGCCATGTCGAAAATATTCCCCTCTTGTACCCGATTGTTTTGGCTAAGATGCTTGCAGTGATGGATACATATTGTTGGTGGGCCATTTTAAGTAAAAAGTCACATGGATATGTTAAACGAAGGACATGCGAACTGAAGTAAGATCATTTTAAATTTCGATTTAAAGCTTTCGTGACTGCAGGCATTCATCTTCTTGGTTATTTCGGTAAAGTCACGTAGAAGGGAAGTAATAAAATAATTATAGTTTTATTTTTATTATTTCATTACTTCCCTTCTACGTGACTTTACCGAAAGAACCAAGAAGATGAAGTAAGATGTGCCAATCAAATTTTATTAAAAAGACCTTATGAATGCTAAGGCCCTTTTGACTTTTAAGTAACCCAAAACACATTTTTATAATCACTTTCGCATGCACTTTCAGAAGCGCATTTTCCACGACCGATGACTTTGCCCGATTGTGCCGACTGGATTCACCGTGGGCAGTGTTCCACTTTAATCAGCAATGCAATTTTGTTTTTAACACTGAGATGCCCAAAGCCAATGGCAGAGCCAGGATTTTCAGGTAGGGGGACAACCCCTCCAGCAATGAAGAATGATAGGAGTTGTTAGTAAGGACTTGTCCCTTGCTTTTAATTCGACGCGTGTGCGGCGTTGGCGCAGTCATCGATCGAGGGTCGAATTCGAACCGTGTGTGATCGGCATCGCGCTCGCTGAAGGTATGCCTTCAGAGAAGTCGTGTACTGTATACGCAACTGCGCACAATTCTGAGTCACTTATAACTGCTTTGCCGTTACTTATTGCCAATTATGGACTCATTGTCCTATAATATGCTACACAGCGGCAGTGGGGGTCGCAAAATGCCGATTTATTGCTAATAAACCCCAATGATCCGATCAAAATTAGAGATTTCGATCGGATCATTGGGGGGGGGGGGCACGTGCCACCCCCCAGCCCAAATGGCTCCGCCAGTGCCCAAAGCGGTCTTACTTTTAACACCGAGATGCCCAATGCAGCCTTACCGCAGGCAATAATGCAGAACTTGTGCAAACTATTTGGATGCTGCCGCACAGAACTACACTTGTGGAATGTCGCGCTGCCTTGCCACTTCAGAGGAGTGTTGTTTAAAAAGAGCACTTTACTGTCAAAATGACACACGGGCGCGTTCCAGTTTAATTGAAACAGAATCTGGGTGGCTCAGTGGGGTTTATCTTACACCCGTGTCAGATAACACAGCCAGCACCACCGAGGTCCTGGGTTCACATCCTGTGCTCTCACCCAAAAATAAAAAGGCTTCTCTAGCAGCATGAGAAGATGGTTCCTGTCCAGCCACTTGAGACTGGACATGAAACGACACTGAACATCGTCGACGTTTTTATTGTAAGCATGTGCACGGCCCCCCTTTTGAAATCCACTGCTGGATTAAGACGTCTCCACGCCATGTCAAACATTGACCTAATTTCACAACGCTGGTCAGTGCAGATTGAAGGTGGCAAGCATATATGTGGGAGCATAGCACAGTGGCATAATGGATTTGCCGCAACCGTCTTCTGCTGGACACAACTTAACCTGTGATTGATGGTGGTCGTCTATTAAAACCACTATCCAGGCTCAATCCTGCTTCGCTTTTGTGATCTTTCTATATCGCGCGCTTTCTGGGCGATCTCTTTGAGGGATGAACCGTCAGGGAGGGTGTCTGAGTCATCTGGACCAGTAAAGCCAGCACAGTCTGTACAGTGCTGCATATCTATTGACAGCTACGAGCGGATGCCCTATGCTCCCCCGTTCCATTCTTACAACTTAACCCCACCGTTGATGACAGCAACATCGATTAAAAGATTTACTCAAAAATATTTAAGCCAAGAACGCAAATTTACCGTCGGTGCTAACGTGACGAAAACGATCGTAACATTCGAGTTTGCATCGTTGACCAAAAAAACCACACTAACGTGCAGCCGAGGCACAAGCCACACAGTACGCGGAAGGGTCGAGGTGAATGAGCAGCCAACATAATCGCTAAATGCTGTACCGTACACGAAGCGCACGGGGCGATACAAAACCCATGAACGTAAATCGTGGGTACAGGAAACACGGTTTGGTATTTAAAGTAGATGTTTAAAAAAAATACCCATAAACCCAGCAACAGAAGGGAGATTCCGAGAACTGCATATGCGAAATTAAGGTAGTTTTGAGTCGCGGCGTCCCCGTGTTGCCGCTTGTTGCCGAGCCAGACGCAGTGGCGGCGCCTCGACATCCGTACGACCGTAGACATGGCCGAGTTATGATTTTGTATTTGCACCGAATGAGCGTTGACTACCGTCACGATGGTGACTATGATCAATGGGGGCTTGTGACGACGGTGGTGACGCTGTCGTACACTCGTCGACCTTGGTCCATGTCACGAGCTCCGGCCGTACATCCAGCCCGTACACGACGTGGCACCACCGTACGTACACAGCACCGATCTCGCCACGTGAAGGATGCACTAAGCTAGCTAAGCAGCGAAAGCGCGGATGGAAGTGTACTTTTTTGAGATATCTGTAGCTGTATATTATTTGCACGTAGGGGGTCTTGTTTAATTTCACTTTTGTCGGCAAGAACTCTCAAACCGTTGGAAAATTCGCGTGTGTACAGGTTACCGTATTTACTCTCGCACGGTTAAACCCGCTTACGCGTGTACCCTTGGTATATATTGTATTTGACGGAGACCATAAACATTTGAGTACACCGTGATGTGTAAACATCAACCCTGGAGGCACGAATGCTGCCCGACGTCTATGTACTGCAGGTTAAACTTCTTCAGCCCCTACGTGATCGGAGGCGCGGGGCACAAGCATCACCACCCGCGCCGTGTGCCGTGACGCCCTTCATCGGCGTTCGCTCGAGCAGAGCGGCAGTCAACCCCGGGCTACACGGGCTACACGGGGGGTGCGGTGCGCAGGGTCCTCTTCGCCTTGCCGTGTTCGGCAGCTTTCGCGCGCCAAGGCGGCACGAGTCACCGACCCCCAGCCCACCGTGTAAACATCGCGTGACGTGGAGATTTTACCTGCGTCGCGCGAAGAAAGAAGCTGTGAGAACACCATCATTAATAATGACGCCACCCCTCATGAGGATTATCGCCGGGACCTAACGCGTGAAATTAGCCGCGCTGAGTGAGCGAGCGAGCGAGCCCAGGCCGCCTCTCTCACCCCGCCACCACCACCACACCCAGCAGCAGCAGCCGCAGCAGCAGAGCCACTTCCCAACAAAGCCGCGTCACGGAAGCCGCCTCTCGTGACCCGACTGCGACACTTGAACGGGAGAGTGCGGCGGCGTGCTGCTGCTGCTGCCACGTGTCATTGTCAATGCTCGCCGCGCTTGGGCCGCTCGCTGGTAAGCGCAGCCCCGTCGGCTCAAGCGGCTGCCCGGGGCCGCCGCCGCCGTCTCTGCGCTCTCGACGCCACTCAGTGTTCGCGAGGTCCCCCTGGGCCCTTCCATTACAATTGGCAGCGCGGACACGCGAGCGCGGCCGTCCGATTGGACAACGGGCGCCACGTGCCGGACGCGCCGCCCAATCGGCGGCGAGCTCCGGAACGGCGGTCGCTTATGCGCGCTGGGAAATGCGAGCGGCTGGGCTGGAGGGGGGGGGGGCGGTCGACACCGCCCGCCCGCCTGGGCTCGAGGTGGGGCGCGAAACATCGCGGAGGCGCTCACCTCGGCGTGGAAGAAGAAGACGAGGAGGGAGGAGGAGGTGGTGGTGGTGGTGAAAGCCGCGTTCTCTGGCCGCTCGGGTTGCTGTTTGTCTCCACGTCGTCCCCCCTCTTCACAGCGCCGACGACGCCGCCCGCTCGCGCGAACTCTTCAACTGCGCCTCTCGTGCCTGCTGGGGATGGGCGGTGACGTCACGCAGCCGCAATGCGCATGAGCGGAAGCGGCGCCGTGACGACATTCGACGGCGGCCGCGCGAGGGGGGGGCTGGTGACGTCATCGTACCGAGGGTTTGTCGGCGGCCTTTTGCGGTGACGTCACCGACAACAATAAGACATGACGTCACCACTTTGGCGATCTCGATCGACAGCAATACCGCAGAGCTGTGGACCCCTTACCACTGGCCCTATCTTATTACAGACCAGCTCAGACCGTATTGGTCACTCCGTGAAAATAATATTACATTTTATACTGCGCCAGTATTCAAATAATAAAATAATAATAAAAACCTGACAAATAAAAGAAACAGTTTAGTATATTATTGGTTCTTTCGGTATAGTCACGTAGAAGGGAAATAATAAAATAATAAAAATATAAAACAATAAATAATAATGGATCCCTGCAGTCACGAAAACTTCAAATCTCGATAGAACTCCCTCGTGTCGTCTTCGGTGCAGTCGTGAGTTGTTGTTGTTGCCTACCAAACACTCCGCGCTGATTGGCCGAGACGAATGTAAACAAACATTCTGACCATCGGGATGCTCAACGCTCAAGAATCCATTATCTTATTACAATATTATTTTATTGGATAATTGTCTTATTTATTAATCTCAGTGTATTCATTTATAATTATACTTAATTATTTGTTACCGTTATACTGAAACTTCGTATATTGAATATTCGCATAGCGAGGTATCTAACCTATATAATTCATTTTTTGTCCGTCCGTCCGTCCGTCCGTCCGCGTACGCTCCCTACCGGGGGATTTAGCTCTCGGACCGTGGGGTTCGGCGAGATTACATTTTGCAGGTGGGCACGCCCCCGGCCCCGCGGTAAACTTAGGCATTTCCGATTTTTCGTCTCTAAACTTTAAATCGGACCGATTATCGATTTAGTGCGATTTATCTTTATTTATTTATTTAACGCTTTATTTATTTACTCTTGCCGGCCGGCGCGGACCACGGCGGTTGCCCCTGGCAACGGGTAGAGAGAGACGCGTTCGCTGCGGGGTGGACGCCATTTTGAATTACCATTAAAAATATGCGCACGCATTAACACGCGATTCTGAGGTAAATTCATCAAAGTTTCACGTCCTCTTTACTCCCCTTCCACCCCAATGTGTGCAATTACTATTATAGGGTCGGTAGATAATAAAATTATAGCGATTAGACAGTATTATTGTAGCGCGGGGGGGGGGGGTATTGGCCCCAGTACGGAGCCTCTGCTGGATAGGCAATCTAGGCAAGGCCGGAGGCTCTGCACGGTACTAGGCCTCGACACCCCACCCGTGTCAAGCGACGACTTTGTGGTATAAACTCGATATACCCGGCGTTGCCCGGGGGGAAAATACATTTAAAATCTTCTGAAAACTTTAAAACATTACATACCAATGAAAATACAAGTGTGTAATTACTCTTAAACCCGACGCGCCAAGAATCGATTCTCTGAATCGCGAAAAGGAATCGAAGGTTGTAGATTCCTTTAGATTCGGACGATTCCCGTTTACTATAAGTTGGTTAAAGTCGATATAAACTGCTACGAACGGGAAATATCCGGCGTTGACCGGGGCAAAAATGTTATTAAAAACTCCTGAAAACATTAAAACATAACATATCAATGAAAATAAAACTCTGTCGTTCAAAATGTAAACCCCCAAAATGCCAGGAATCGATTCCTTGAATCGCACTAAGGACGAATCGAAGGTTGTAGATTCCTTTAGGAGGGGGAGAGTGGGGAGAGTGGTGAGAGTGGTGAGGGGGAGAGTGGTGAGAGTGGTGAGGGGGAGAGGGGTGAGGGGGAGAGTGGTGAGAGTGGTGAGGGGGAGAGTGGTGAGAGTGGTGAGGGGGAGAGTGGTGAGAGTGGTGAGAGTGGTGAGGGGGAGAGTGGTGAGGGGGAGAGTGGTGAGAGTGGTGAGGGGGAGGAGAGTGGTGAGAGTGGGTGAGAGTGGTGAGAGTGGTGAGAGTGGTGAGGGGGGAGAGTGGTGAGAGTGGTGAGAGTGGTGAGAGTGGTGAGGGGGAGAGTGGTGAGGGAGAGAGTGGTGAGGGGAGGAGAGTGGTGAGGGGGAGAGTGGTGAGGGGGAGAGTGGTGAGGAGGGAGAGTGGTGAGGGAGAGCGTGGTGAGGGGAGAGTGGTGAGGGGGAGAGTGGTGAGGGGGAGAGTGGTGAGAGTGGTGAGGGGGAGAGTGGTGAGAGTGGTGAGGGGGGAGAGTGGTGAGAGTGGTGAGAGTGGTGAGGGGGAGAGTGGTGAGGGGGAGGAGTGGTGAGGAGTGGTGAGGGGGAGGAGGTGGTGAGAGTGGTGAGAGTGGTGAGAGTGGTGAGAGTGGTGAGGGGAGAGTGGTGAGAGTGGTGAGAGTGGTGAGGGGGAGAGTGGTGAGGGAGAGAGTGGTGAGGGGGAGAGTGGTGAGGGGGAGAGTGGTGAGGGGGAGAGTGGTGAGGGGGAGAGTGGTGAGGGAGAGAGTGGTGAGGGGGAGAGTGGTGAGGGGGAGAGTGTGTGAGGGGGAGAGTGGTGAGGGGGAGAGTGGTGAGGGGGAGAGTGGTGAGGGGGAGAGTGGTGAGGGGGAGAGTGGTGAGGGGGAGAGTGGTGAGGGAGAGAGTGGTGAGGGGAGAGTGGTGAGGGAGAGAGTGGTGAGGGAGAGTGGAGGGAGAGAGTGGTGAGGGAGAGAGTGGTGAGGGGGAGAGTGGTGAGGGGGAGAGTGGTGAGGGGGAGAGTGGTGAGGGAGGAGAGTGGTGAGGGGGAGAGTGGTGAGGGGGAGAGTGGTGAGGGGGAAGGTGAGGGGGAAAGTGGTGAGGGAGGAGAGTGGTGAGGGGGAGAGTGGTGAGGGGGAGAGTGGTGAGGGAGAGAGTGGTGAGGGGGAGAGTGGTGAGGGAGAGAGTGGTGAGGGGGAGAGTGGTGAGGGGGAGAGTGGTGAGGGAGAGAGTGGTGAGGGGGAGAGTGGTGAGGGGGAGAGTGGTGAGGGGGAGAGTGGTAAGAGCGGTGAGGGTGAGTGGTGAGCGGTGAGGGTGAGTGTTGAGGGTGAGTGGTGAGTGGTTAGGGTGAGTAGTGAGGGTGAGTGGTGAGCGTGAGTGGTGAGTGGTGAGCGTGACTGGTGAGGGAGAGTGGTGAGGGAGAGTGGTGAGGGAGAGTGGTGAGGGAGAGTGGTGAGGGAGAGTGGTGAGGGTGAGTGGTGAGGGTGAGTGGTGATTGGTGAGGGTGAGTGGTGAGGGTGAGTGGGGAGGGTGAGTGGCGGTTGTTAGTGGTGATTAGTGAGGGATGAATGGTGAGGGTGAGCGTGAGTGGTGAGGTTGAGTGGTGAGCAGTGAGGGTGAGTGGTGATTGGTGAGGGTGTGATTGGTGAGGATGAGTGGTGAGGGTGAGTAGTGAGGGTGAGTGGTTGTTGTGAGGGTGAGTGGTTGTTGTGAGGGTGCGTGGTGAGGGTGAGTGGTAAGAGTGAGTGGTGAGGGTGAGTGACGGTTGTGAGAGGTGATTAGTGAGTGTTGAGGGTGAGTGGTGAGGGTTAGTGGTGAGGGTGAGTGGCGGTTGTGAGTGGTGATTAGTGAGGGGTGAGTGGTGAGGGTGAGCGTGAGTGGTGAGGGTGAGTGGTGAGGGTGAGCGGTGAGGGTGAGCAGTGAGGGTGAGTGGTGATTGGTGAGGATGTGATTGGTGAGGATGAGTGGTGAGTGGTCAGGGTGAGTGGTGATTGGTGAGGGTGAGTGCTGAGCGGTGAGGGTGAGTGGTTGTTGTGAGGGGTGAGTGGTGAGTGGTGAGAGTGAGTGGTGAGGGTGAGTTGTGAGGGTGAGTGGTGATTGTTGAGGGTGTGATTGGTGAGGATGAGTGGTGAGTAGTGAGGGTGAGTGGTCACGGTGAGTGGTGAGGGTAAGTGTTGAGGGTGAGTGGTGAGTGGTGAGGGTGAGTGGCGGTTATGAGTGGTGATTAGTGAGGGGTGAGTGGTGAGGGTGAGCGTGAGTGGTGAGGGTGAGCAGTGCGGGTGAGTGGTGATTGGTGAGGGTGTGATTGGTGAGGATGAGTGGTCAGGGTGAGTGGTGAGGGTGAGTGGTTGTTGTGAGGGTGAGTGGTGAGGATGAGTGGTGAGGGTGAGTGGCGGTTGTGAGTGGTGATGGGTGAGTGGTGAGCGGTGAGGGGTGAGGGTGAGTGGTGAGGGTGAGTGCTGAGGGTGAGTGCTGAGTGGTGATGGTGAGTGGTGAGAGAGTGGTTAGTTTTGAGGGTGAGTGGTGAGGTTGAGTGGTGAGGGTTAGTGGAGAGTGGTGAGTGGTGATTGGTCAGTGGTGATTGGTGAGGATGAATGGTGAGTAGTGAGGGTGAAGTTGAGTGGTGAGGGTGAGTGGTGGTTGTGACGGTGAGTGGTGAGGGTGAGTGGTGAGGGTGAGTGGTGAGGCTGAATGGTGAGGGTGAATGGTGAGAGTGAGTGGTGAGTGGTGAGGGAGAGTGGTGAGTGAGAGTGGTGAGGGTTAGTGGTGAGGGTTAGTGGTGAGAGTGAGGGGTGAGTGGTGATTGGTGAGTGGTGAGGGTGAGTGGTGAGGGTGAGTGGTGAGGGTGAGTGGTGAGGGTGAGTGCTGAGTGGTGATGGTGAGTGGTGAGAGAGTGGTTAGTTTTGAGGGTGAGTGGTGAGGTTGAGTGGTGAGGGTTAGTGGAGAGTGGTGAGTGGTGATTGGTCAGTGGTGATTGGTGAGGATGAATGGTGAGTAGTGAGGGTGAAGTTGAGTGGTGAGGGTGAGTGGTGGTTGTGACGGTGAGTGGTGAGGGTGAGTGGTGAGGGTGAGTGGTGAGGCTGAATGGTGAGGGTGAATGGTGAGAGTGAGTGGTGAGTGGTGAGGGAGAGTGGTGAGTGAGAGTGGTGAGGGTTAGTGGTGAGGGTTAGTGGTGAGAGTGAGGGGTGAGTGGTGATTGGTGAGTGGTGAGGGTGAGTGGTGAGGGTGAGTGGTGAGGGTGAGTGGTGAGGGAGATTGGTGAGGGAGGTTGGTGAGTGGTGAGTTGTGAGGGTGAATGGTGAATAG